ATTTACATTCATTTGCCCCTAACTTTTTCCATCAACAGAATTTTGCAAAACGATGTAAAGAGCTTCCATATCAAATCCGTATCTCTTATGCATGACGAACCAGAGCAAACAGAATCCACTACGATTTTTCAGTGAATGTATTTTACATTCACTGAAAAAAAGTAACGAGTTCTGCCCGCTCTAATTCGTGATGCATAAGAGATACAGATTTGAATTCTTAACAAAAGTTGTAGCTAATAACAAAACCTACTAAAGTTCTATACATCATTTTGCGGAATCCTGCTGATGAAAAAAGTTAGAGGCAAATGAATGTAAATGAATGCATGAAAAGAATGTAAATGATTTTCCATGCCTAGTTATTAGACTGATGCAAAATTTGACTTTTTCACTCCACAGTGCTTAAATGGTTTCAAATAGGGTCCTGATTAGCCTCCCAAAGTTACAACTCATTTGGTTAGAAACAGACTTCGCACAAGCCATTTGAAGTTTACATGTAAATTACTATGGGAAATCTCAACTTTTTGTTCATTGCCTTCTAGTCTTTTTCCATATTGAGCTGCGAAACAGTTCGATAGCCATTATTATAGAAAATTTTCTCAGCTAAAACTTTGCCGAAGATCATTTCTATGTAAAACGAGACAGGAAAAAGCTATTAATTATTTAAGAGATTGGTAAACTTATGACATGATCAAGCAGCTGCTCTGTAGGCAACACTGTATTTTGCAGTGTGACATAGTAGCCATGATTGTTGTGTCCTATTTAACGCCCCAGAAACACCAATGTTGCCTGCTGAGCAGTTGATTGAGCATCATCATAAGACATCAGTGCATTGAACCATTGATAACTTGCATTTAATCAAAAAGTGGTCTTCGGCAAAGTTGTAGCTGGGAAAATTTCCTACAAGTACAGTTGTTTGCTTTCGAAGCAGACCGATATGGTGAATTATTAGATAGACATGAACAAAAATCTTGATTTTACCATAGTAATTCCGATACAAACTTCAAATGGTTCATCTCAGTTTCTCACCAAATGGGTTCAAATTTTGAGAGGTGAGTCAAGATCCGATTTGGAATCGTTTAAGTATTGTGGAGCGAAAATTTCAAATTTTGCATCACTCTACTGGTTATGGTAGTCAGTAATGTCCATGGATGGTTTTTAATTTCTGCACATTGTGCCAAAACACAGCATGGCACACTTTTTGGCACACGTTGACAAGTAGAATACAAAAAATGTAATTTAAAATGGCATAACTGTCGTGCGTTGACGTTTTGCTAATCGTTCCTAAGGATGAATACTTTGCATAGTTGAAGATGCTAATTTCAAATAACAGACTAAAGTGCAGAAGTAATACAAACAAAATAGTTAAAGTAGAGGAACGGAACCTATTCTCGGCCTATGCTCCTATTTTGGGCCTAACGCTTAAACTCAGGATTGAAGCAACATTAATTTTCATTTATTAATGATATTATGCAATTCATTATACTCCATTCCAGCAGAAAAATCAGGCAGAAGTAGATCTAAAGCTGAGTATTAGCACAGACAAACAGACGTAACACTTCATTGTGTATCTTCGTTCACGCATTTAACGGTTGATTTCAATATTATCAGTTCCGCGAACAATCTTGTTTTCCGCGAGAAGCCAGAGAGATGTCGTTACTGAGGTCCTATGTTTTGAGATACTATGCTTTCAAGAAAAACTTTTTCAAAGTGTTACGTCTGTTTGTCTGTGGTATTAGCGTTAAACCCAAAATAGGACCATAGGTCGAGAATTCGATCACTTAACCCTATGAAAACTTTGTTTACTTCAATGTAAAGCCCAATAAGTTCGTGGGTTGTGACATACCACATTTCGAAAATCTGCGATCGGCGAGATCGTTGAGTTTGCCTTTGGTGTAAACAGGTTGGTACATGGCGTTCAAAAACAAACCGGTAGAATCGTCAGTTTATGTTTATGCACGTTCGCAGTACATATCTCTGTAGGGACGAATCTCCTCTGAACGGTGACTAAATTGTGTCGGCTGCAGAAGAAATGTCGAAGAACTCTGTTTTCAACGGTATTCGAGCAGACTTCTGGAAAGAATGGCTGTATGTAAGTAGATTAGATTATTTCTTCCAAACAGCCCTTGAAAATGTTGCACTTCATTGCAGCTGATTTGTTGCAAGTGGAGATGTTCCTGACACAGGTGCGCAAAACGTACAACAAAGCCATAACCGAAATGGGAACGACTGGAAAAATATCGTGCATCATGCGATGGTCAAATTTACATTTGGAACGAAGGATAGGGCATGATATTTTCTATGAGAGTCGAGCTACACTTACAAGTTTGTTATGTAGAATAACTGATAAATGTACATCAGTCTAAAAACCTTCAGCCAAACGTACTTCGGCTTAATGACGCAGCACCGAATAATCAATAAAGACAAAACTATTATCATAGGGCTTTTTGGCCAGGTTCGAATGTCGGTTTGCCGAGGACGTGACGTTACTCTCCCAGGCCTATTCTACGAGTCGTGTAATACTCTGTCTCTAGCGAGGTGACTTTGATATGCACGTTTTTTTTTTTTTTTTTTTTCTTTATTATAGAGATTTTTAGCCTGAGGCTAGTTCATCTCTTCTTTGATTTGCACGGAAATTCATCTCACTAGTTAAACTTGTTCATCGCAAGAGGCCCCAGTGCGAAGGGTGGCCAACCGATCGCTCAGCGGTTCCCGCTTGACGACTCTAAGCAATTTTCTGTTTAGCAAGAGCCTGAGGGCGTGCAGATGAGCCAACTAGACAGTGCAACACAGATTTCCACATTCCAATCTAGCAGAGATTACGAGCTATCTTCTTGCAGCGATGGCTCTAAGTCCGCACTAGGTACTCGATGCGTCGATTACATGAGCGTCGTTAATCTATCCATCCGTTCGAGTTCGTTGTTTGATATAGTTGTAGAGGATTTCAAAGGATGCCGGTGGCATTTTCTTCCTCCATCGATCTGGTTACGGCTTCGTTTCTGCTCACCTGAAAGGAATCAGTAATTCAAATAGACATCGAGTCAGAATTTTGTGGATCGGTTGAGATTGTTTGAACACCGCATACGTTTGATAACCTTCTAGTTTCTCTTTCACCTCCCGCTCCGAAAATGAAAATTCAAACACAATCACAAATGTCATTATAATCATGTTATGATGCCAAACTCATGGGATATTTACATGGGATATTGGCACACTTCGGCCTACTTTGGCACTTTCGGCATAGCGCATGGCATAGCTTTCGGCACAGCTAACTCATTCAGCACAGATTAAGATGTGAAGAGTTGAATACCCCTTGATAATCGGTCAACTTTACGTGGAATATATCACGAGTTGGTGATCATTATACGGGTTTCCTTTTTGAAAGGCACTCAATTTGAAGTTCCACATATGTTATGTGGAAAGACCCTCAAAATTTTGTTCAAATATTCCTGATCACCTGGGTAGGTCCCTGAGATTAAACGCAACTTTCCTACACTACCAGGAAGTTCAGAAAGAGTAAGTGCTCTCAAAAACTGATACGAAGCTCCCTGACGTCTTAAGGAGTTACCTGAACTATTCTAAAAATTCCTGAGCCTCTATGAAGTTTACTAAGCTTCTGATCAGTAGGACGATCTTCTAGATGAAATTTTATGAAATTCCCTACACTTTTTTGTTCTATGAAGTTTTTGGAACTAAGTTCGCTGCATTACTACAAAGTTCACTGTACTTCTACGATTTGTGTTGATTTTCTTTCTTGAAGTTCCACGAAGTGTATTGAACTGCTTTGAACATTTGTGAGTATTCGTGAAATTAAATAATGTTCCCTGAACTTGTATGAGGCGTCCTAGACCTTTGTACTTCGTGGGTATTTTTTTCCTCCTACTTCGTCTATCCTTCGAGATTTCCTTGTCATGAATTTTGCTTTCATTTACTATAAGAATCCAACTCATTTAAAACCGAATGGTTTATAGTTGCTTATATAATGACAGAACATATTTTTAAAGTATTTTTTCAATGCATGAATAAACAATTGCCAATGAAGATTGTGATTGATTCACTAAACAGTTTTATGGAAGGACTGAGAGCTGCTTTAAATTTATTTTTAAAACAAGACAGTTTTTAACTTTCTTGACGAGATTATAAAAGCAAACAGCAGTAGGAATGACTAACCAGGAATGTGTTACACTTTGAAATCCTGTATTTAAACTAAATGGATTATTCATTCCCTGGTTAAAACCATCATAAATCAAAGTGGATGCTAAATAGCTGCTGGATTGTTACTTGGGTTGGGTTGGTACTTGGACTGTTGAACGAAGATTTCTTGGACTTAAAGTCTGTGAACTAACATTCAAGTCTAAGTATACGATCAGTATAGATCAATATTCTATATCTAATACATGTCGCTTCGTGCAGTATGTAATGCCTATCACTTCTTTTCTAAAAGATACCATAAAGGTCGGGCGATTGCCTGCATTCAATACTCTACGATTTGTATTACTCAAGTATTCGAGCAAACTGGAGCCTCTGGTTTTATATCTAAGCTACCCCAGATGACAGGGTGGGTATTTGCAGCTCTGTTCGCCATATTTTGTTACCGATATTGTCCATCCTACAAACTTCCCAGTTACAGAAATATTACCATTTTTTATTATTGCTGAACGTTGAAATGTACTGTTGATATTTGTAAATGATTATGATTGCTTACGATGCGCTGCGATTTTCACATAAAAAGTAGAAGATTTATTGAAAACATCATTAAAAAGCGTTAACTTTACACTGTCTAATAACCACAAAAGAAATATTTGCGCGCACGTGCATGCATCGAATGAAAAATGGAAACAATCTCTTCAATGAGCTACCTACCTACAAACTTGTATGCACTAATTATGCACCGCATACATGTTCCCACTGCAGTTTTAATTCATTATGATTCCATTCACCTTTCCCTCAGAGTGATTAATTCACATAGTTAATGTTATGTTTCTTCCATTCCACTTCCGCAGGAGAGAAAGGAAAGCGGCAAGCGGGGACGTAAACCAGGCCGCAAGGCGTCAACTGAGAAGATCGATATGAAGGCAAAGTTAGGTGCGTCTCTACTAAAATTAGCGAAAACAAAAGTGAATCTCACCTCAAACGCCGTGTTACCTCTTTCACAGAACGCAGCAGACAAAGTGCACGGGAATGCAGAGCGCGTAAGAAGCTGCGCTACCAGTATCTGGAGGAACTGGTCAGCGACCGGGAGAAGGCCGTCTTCGAGTTGCGCCGCGAGCTGGAGAAGCTCCACTACTGGGCACTGGAGGTGGATGCCGGCCGTTTTCCCGAGGGCCTGCAGGAACTGCTCGAGGAGCTCGGCGCCCTGAAGCAGGAGTAAATTGGCAGCCACTCGTTGTTCCCCGTCGTGGTTCTTGATGAATTTGGGAGGCTTTAATTTCATCGTATCAGTTGTTCGATAGATTGAGTTCCCTCCGTTAGTGCACTTTAGTAGTAGTATTTACTATTTATTTGGTTTGAACGAGATTGGTTCTTTTTTCGATTAAGACGTTCCTTATTCGCGTTATATCGGCGTTATTTTTTTTAGAAATTGCGTTAGTTATGATTAGTTTAACATTAAATCTTATACTTTTATAGTTTCGGTTTTTCGATATTTTAAAATTTCTCAAAAATGTCTACAAAAAATAACAAAAAACAAACGTAAAATAACTAAAAAATAACTAAACATATGAAAGAGTAAACGAACATGGCTTAAGTCTAAAGAAAAGTTACCTCAAATACCGATAAGCTTAAGTACAACTAGGTGTTGAAATTGTGAACAGAGTAAAAATTGGATGTACATAATCTATTTCGATCACCACAAATACAGTGATTCATGCAATTAGTACACCGCAGATCCTGCGGGAACACTGATCCACCCGTAGTGAGTAGATCCACAATAAGAGTTCGTCATTCGACTGTCCTGATATAACTCCACTGAGTAGATTGGAACTCATACAAGTTCAATAAAATAATTGTTTCCATTGAATAAACTGCACAGATATAAATTTCGCTTAATAGTTGACTTGTTGCAAAGTTCCGGGCGGCATATTAATTGAAATGACTATTTTTGTACTACAGATTTTAAAGGATACCAATAAAACTATCAGCATGGAAAAAGGATTCGCTTTAATTAATTTTTCTTATTTCTTCCATATTATTTATTCGCGAGGCTCAATCGTGACAGTTTCAAGGAGCCGTGATTTCTGTTTTTTTTTACAGCTCTACAACACCATTTGACGAGAAGGTTTTTTCTCTCTCCGGAGCATCCCAACCGCAACGCCAAAAAATTAAAATTTTGATTTTTTTTAAAAGGAATTAAAATGAAAAAAAAAATCAGAAGTTAAGAAATGTTAAGTGTAATTTTAATTTTTCTATATCATCGTGATAAAAAATTGGGTAAAATGTGCAATGGTCTAACATTTAGCCTATTTTTTTTATCTTGATGATATTCGTTTATTTATCTTGATGATATTCGGGCCTCCCTTAGCTCAATCAGAACATAGTAATGGAATAGTGTTTAATTGTTTTCAATAATTTATTCAAGCAAATTCTTATGTTATATTTTATGCAGTTAATGTTGTACAAATGTTTCATGTAATTTGTTGTGTGGATCATTCTCGGTAAAACTTGGTGCGTGAAACATTATACTAAAATTAACATTGACATTAACATTGGAAATCCGGTCAGAGTGGACAATAAAACTTACGGTTTTTTTTTTAGAAAATTCCACCTAAATTCAAACTGGGTACTCTTCTGACAAGACGACCACCCAATTCCGCCCACGTGATTTCATAGGTGTAGGCACCATATCCAGGCTATCTTTTCCCTCGGATTGCTCGTGATTCGAACTATCATATGTTGCCAGAAAATTATGCTACGATCTAGTGTGCTTCGATTTTTCGATTCACTTAATTTTCCAGCCCATTTCAGCAGGCTTTCTGACATGTATTAAAAACTCCCAGCAAGGGAATAATATCAATAATACTTCAAAACGAGGGCCCTAACAGAATAGCACAGACAAACAGACATAACACTCGCAAGTTGTTCATCGAACAAGCATTTAACGGACAATTTAAAAGTATCGTGAGTGGTAGTACCGCCACCTGTGGCGCGTATAGTCAATTCGCTTGCGTTTGACGTTTACACACTACCACCATCTGTTCAGCGTACTACCGACCACAGTGCACAGTGGTTCCTGGCTGGCCAAAACATCAAAAATTTAAGTTGATATTTTTTTATTTCAATATTTTTTATCATTTTTACATGTTAAGAGTATCTTAAATTGATTGATTTGTGCAGTTCTATTGATAACATATTTTTTTATGGTTGTTATAGTGCAGCGATATCACACATTTTTGAAAAAAAATCGTAATGTTTCTTGTTACTGTTTTGCTGAAATATAGAAAAATATAATGTGTTTATCAACTTGGTTACTTGTGAAGAAATGTTCCTCGGCTTATTTCACGTCAAATAAATGGAAAAAAAAGAGTGTCTGCACTGTTTTAAATGACAGTTTCTAATAAAAAAATAGCAAAAATATACTTTTTTCACATTTAGACTAAGCAAAACATATGACGGACACATCCGCCCACTATCCTTTAGTAGCCAAAAGATAGCTAGAAAAGTTAGTTTTCAGATAGGTTTTAATGTGTTTTGCGATTTTTTGCGAAAGATATTGAAATTAGGAATAGCAAGTAAAGTGTTCTTTGGAAATTATCCGTTTCTAAATAATATAATCTGCGGTGTATACTGTAGCAAGCTTAACAATGTCTTTTTCAATGAACAACAACACGCAAACACATACACACACGCACCATATATCTATCTCTTATGGTTCATGAGTTATGATTTTTTTAAACAAGCAGGTTAGGGTGACCCGTAGACAATCGGCATTTTTTAAATATCTTTTTATACGTTCATTTCTTGTGAAATTTTTTATACTTGACACTTTAAGAACTTTTTATGACGCATATCTTTGTTAAGTTGTTATCTCTTTTATTTGAAAAGTAAAACTAGGTTTTGCTGAAAATATCACTTCTTTAAATTAAATTAAATGCTTTAAAAAGAAAAAGCTCTTGCAGTTTTTTTTTTACCAAAAATGAAGAAAAAACGATGTTTTCAATTAAATTAAATGTTTGAAAATCGGTTTGCTCCATTTTGAGATATTGACAATAGAAAAGAGCCATTTTTTCGAAGAAAATAGCCTTAACTTTCTTATCAAAAAACATAGTAACCTAGTTGCTTGAGCAAAAATATGCGTCACCAAAAACTCTAAATATAATCAGAACAATGTTCTTACGAGAAATTAACGCATGAAAAAATATTCAGAGAAAACCGATTTTAGTGGCCACCCTAACCTGCTTGTTTAAAAAAATCATAACTCATGAACCATAAGAGATAAAAACGTTGTGTCTTCAATAAATTTGCTATGGATTGATTGTTCTACAACTGTTTAGAACACTGCTTTGGTCTATCTCAAATAATAAAAAAAAAGTTTGTATTTTTAATTCACCAATTTTATGGACCACAATAATTTTTAGAACATAAAAATAATGAACAAAAAATATGAAGCAACTTTCCCTAAGAAACCATATACCTAAAACTGACGGTTTGGGCGCAAACATTTTTGTCTTCCTAAATACGGCTTGGGACCATTATGCATTGGTTTTGGTTCTACTATACTCCTTTTTGTGACGTCTTGATTGTCAAGTTTTCCTCGTGCAGCTAAAAAACATATTTCAACTGTTGTTTGCCTATTTGCAACAATTTTGTGGTTTTGGCCAACTTTTGTTCTAAGGGGAACCACTGTGCAGTGTACTCAACAGATGGCGGTAATGTTTTAGCAACGATGTTGTACAGCGAGAAATATTCAATGTGTTATGTCTGTTTGTCTGTGAGAATAGTATTCATCCAGCTGCGCATTTAAAGAGAAATAACATTCCTTCTTACGACAGAGAAAAGCGGCGAAGTGTAAGTGTAATACCCACTCAATCACAGATTCCCTGTTCGGTATTTTTTTACAGTTTGCGATCTGTAAACCACAAAAAATACCGAACATTCAGTTATTCGCAATAAAATTAGTGATGTACAGTAGCTTTCGTTACAAACTACTGAATACAGTAATAGCAAGTACTGAACTTACCGTAAAATACCGAGTATTCAGTATATTCATGATGTTTGCTAAACTGTAATGAAACGAAATTCCATAATTGCTGATTTTACCAGTAAATCATATTACTTGCGTCATCCTCCGCCGATCCGCACCGCTTACTTACCTTACCAATCAGGCTAAAGCCTTGTTGTCCTCTGCTGTCCGAAGAAATCGTCTTCACTCTACTCGATCCATGGCCACACTTCGCCAGCCTCGTAGTCTGCGAAGGGTCCGCAGGTCGCCTTCTACTTGGTCGATCCACCTTGCCCGCTACGCGCCTCTTCTTCTTGTTCCTGTTGGGTCGCTTTCTAGAACCATTTTCACTGGGTCGTCGTGCGGCATTCTTACGACATGCCCAGCCCACCGTAAGCGCCAAATTTTTGCAATGTGGACGATGGATGGTTCTCCCAGCAGCGTGATTCATTCGCCTCCTCCACGTTCCGTCGTCCATCTACCCTCCACGGTAGATGGTACGCAACACCTTCCGTTCGAAAACACCAAGGGCGCGTTCCGCACCTCACGCACTCTGAATTTCCTGTGTGAACACAGCAGGCCTATATGTGAAAACAAGTGAAACATCTGGAAGTCGCCAAAGGATTACATAAACTATCCCATTTCCATTCAGTTTTTCTCGTTTTTCTACTCCTGCGCAGGCATGGAAAATCATTTGCATTCATTTCGTGCATTCATTTACATTCATTTGCCTCTAACTTTTTTCATCAACAGCAATTCGCAAAATGATGTATAGAGCTTTAGTAGATTTTATTATTAGCTACAACTTTTGCCCGTAACTCAAATCTGTATCTCTTATGCATCACGAATTAGAGCGGGCAGAACTTGTTACTATTTTTCAGTGAATGTAAAATACATTCACTGAAAAACAGTAGTGGCTTCTGTTCGCTCTGGTTCGTCATACATAAGAGATACGGATTTAAGTTTTTAAAAAAAGTTGTAGCTAATAAAAAAACCTACAAAAGCTTCATGCACCATTTTACGGATTTCTCTTGATGAAAAAAGTTAGGGGCAAATGAATGTAAATGAATGTACGAAATGAATGCAAATGATTTTCCATGCCTGCTCCTGCGTGGACTAATAGATGTTTTACTGATTTTAAAGCACATATTTGCACTAAAATTGCTTGCTGTACAGCTTCAGACATCGACAGGCAAACCGGTACACCAAGAGAGTTGATGATGATGATAATGGTCCCACCTCTTGTAGCGCGCAAAATGCGGCTAACGGTTTTCCGTCTTCTGGATCGTTCCCTGGCTCAATAAACGGACGGCTTAAGCGCCACCTCCAAGGAGGACCGTCCGTCGAGTTTTGTTTGCCCGGCTAGAAACCCGTCCTAAGGGCGGGTTTGTTCAATCAGAATTAAAAATTTAATTTCAAAACGAAACAGAAGACTCAAACAGCATGGATCGAGATTCTCCACACAAAGAGGTCGCCACAATCGCGACGAGAGAATAGTTGATGCTACCGGTCGTTCTACCTACTCACGAAAACAACACTCACCAGTATCATCACCGGAGGAACTCACTTATTCAAAGATTCCCGCCGATCGAGACACGTGAGTGGAGAGACTGATTTCCCAGGCAGTCTAACCTGGCGTACAAGAACATCAACACAAAAAAGTAGAACGACGCGAAATGTGAGAATTCTCGAAACCAAAAAATAAGTTACATGGGAAACTTAACATTGAACGGAAAAACATATATTGGGGTAAACTACTATAAAACATTTAAGTAAGTTTATTTAATTGCATAACCTAGGTTTTCATTATTCGCGTTTCTTTCTCTCTAGTTTCCCTACTGTGTGCGGATTTTGATCTAGTGATCGCTAGCTAGTTTTTCTCATCGAGCTCTTCTTCGTGGTGTGTGTGTGATGTCGTTAACGCATGCGCATGGTTAGATTAATTGTTGGGTTTACTCACGGTACCGAAATAGCTGCCTGATGAATTGGTCGGCAA